TGTTAATCTACAAAGGCTGTGGAATCTCCAGGGTTGGAGACGTTCAAGAGCTCATAGGCAAGCACTTGTCAGGTAAAGTAGCACCTGTGTTCAGGTAGGGGAAGTCTTTTCCATGATTCAACACGGCAAGAGCATCCTGGAGGACAGGGCATGCAACCGCAATAGAGGGTAGCATTACCGACAAGAAATATACTTGGATTATGGGACTCTTAAAATTAAAAAAGGAAAACATTTTCATGGCATAAAGTCTGCCTTTGAACAGGTGTCCAAAGTGCTGTTCCCAAAGCTGCAGACCTGCTTAACGTATCAGACCCTGAAACAAAAGATGAGAAGACTGCTGCTGCTGCCTAAATAAGAGATTTGGTGACAAGAAAACAAGAAAACTGTCACTGTTGAGACAGTCTGTCTCAGGGGTTAAAGCTTTGCACTGGCCACCTAATCAAACATAAGCGTAATGAAGAGTGAGGAGGGGGTCCTTATATGCTTTCTGCAGAAGGAATAAGGGTCAACCAAGTGGTACAACTTCTCTGTATTTCCTAGATCAGCTATGGCACAAAGGCTCCACCACTTGAGTTACAAAGAAGGTATCAGTTTTTCAGACTATGCCCTTTTCCCTTACTTTTTCCAGGTGGTGTATTTTTCTTTCTGTTCACAGACTGTGATTTCTGTGACTACAGCATACCTCTGGTACACAGTGTAGTTCAGCCTGAAAGTCAAGGATGCCAGCTATCCATGGCCACATCGGGGATTGTTTGCACACCAAATTCTGTGGAAGGTTTAGCTTTGCACTGTTGCTCTCAGGATCAGGTTCTTGCTTCTCTAACAAATGTTGCAAGGGCAAAGCGAAGAATACAAGAACAGAAGCACTGAATCAGCAGCTGAAGTACCTTTAGCTTTTAACAGTTTAACTGAGCATCGTTTGTCCCCCAGAGAAACTACAGAAAGCAACTTCTGGCATACTTCACACTCACAGAGCTCCTGTGTAGCGTTCAGCTCCTCAAGAACAGAGAAACTCCAAGAACATAGCCAAGAACACCCTGTGATTAGCTCGCAGTCTCAGATCACAACACCATGCTGATATGGATAGTGACTTTCCTGTTGGAATGTTGCTTCTGTCGGGTGCATACTTGATCGCTGGAAAAGGCTCCGAGGTAGAAAAATATGCAGTCAGTCAATCAAGCTGCTGTTACAGAGCACAGGACTTTTCTGTCACATCTTGTTAATGTAAGGAATGGAGGTTATGTGAAAGCAGCTATAACACAATGCATCCTTGCAAGCAGCTATCATGTGAGATAACAAAATACAGCTAAATATAATGCCCTTTCTAAGGCTGTACATGCCTGTTATGCCGTAGTACATTCTGTAGTCAACATGTACAATGCTCTGGGTGTTTTTGAATCGTTATAATTATACTATGGTGCCCTTGCACAGCTTTCTAAAGATATATTGCACACAATTCCTCTAGCTTAATGAGCTATATGGACCAGATTTGTCTCTTAAAGTAACATAGGATTCAGAAGCTAGCAAGAATCCAAGCTGGTGGAGACTCCGATGAGTGCCTGGGGTAGCTGAAGTCATAATGTCATCATCCGCAAGGGGATTTTGATGAAGCTTCTAGTTTTCAGGACAGGATTTTGATTGTCAGCTAATTCCCAGCAGTAATAATGGCATCTGTGAAACAGAACTATAAATTAATAGAGCTGTTATGAAAATACATCAGTTGTTTTCACAAACACTTAAGTCTAACAATGGTAGTGCTCCACATGTTAGTCATAAGCAAATATTTCCAGAGTGTAGGATGGGGATGCTATACTGTGGAAAGGCTAAAGGACCATCTGTGAAATAAGGAGAACAGAAAGCAGTACAAAAGTCTCTATCACAAAATTGATACTTGATTTTTGATTTCCAGTCAAACATTCTCCCATTGCATTTTGAGAGGGAAAAATCCTGTTGTAGTTATGAGAGCCAATCCCATAACTCTGCCTAACCTACGCTAATCCACTGATGGAATGGAACCATTCCCTGGGATAAGATAATATATATATTGCTATATTGCTGAGCCAAGAGGAAATGATCTGCCGCCTGTCCCATTCCTGTATCAGTACATATCTCATTATATTCTAGTGCTGTGCAACTAATTCTCCAGGACTTGGCATAGTTGAGGAAGTCAGAATCTGTTCCTAATGGGGGGAAAAAAATGCCTTCCCTTTGTGATTTCTTCCTCATTTCTGTTTTTGGGAAATTCTTTCAATGAAAGAATATTGAATCCTCTTTCAATCAATCGACACCTTTCTCTGGAAGGAAAGTTAGATAGATGTATATTGTGTGTTGAGGGCATGGAGGAGACAGTTAAGGATTTTAACTATCCCTCTGCCAAATAGTTATGTAGCATAACAAAATTCAGTTACAAAATTATGGAAACAAGATAGAGGACAGGAAACAATGATCCTCAAACGTGAAGCACATCTCCTGTGATTCTTATCTCGCATCTCCGTGAAAGGATCATGAGACTGAAGCACAGAGTAGCTGCAGCTGTGCAACTGAAGATTATGCAAGCAAATCAGCGGACCTGTTTACCGAGTGGAAAGGCATAGATGCAACATAGCAGTTCTCTCTAGACGAGCATGGAAAAGGCAAAGAGTGACTGGATGTTGGCCTGACTAACCCAGATCTTCATGAGAATTATTGGAAACTAGACCACTTTGTTCACTGAAAGGAAAATCAAATGCTTTGAGGTGTTTTGCTTAAATTTTGAAAGAACAGTTAAGAGATTACACAAAGAAACATACTTCTGAAAAGCCTGAAGAAACAACTGAAGCAGTTTACTGTGGGGGAAGATTCATGTGTTCTTGTGACTCTTCCAAGTCCATTTTCCAAAACTGATTTGTCAGATCCCAGTGTTAAGAATAATTTTGTTCCAGTGACGCAAATTGGAATTTGTGTCATTTATTAAAAAGGGACACATGTCTTTCTGGGGAGCCCAAAGTTATGAGCAAAACAAGTCAACTTCTGATTCTGGAGGAGAAAAAATATGAATTCTCTTCTTCAGGCTTTCCTAGAGCAGGCCATTTTCTCTGCTGGATTCAGAGATCTCCTGTACTCTCCAAAACCATAGCTGCATTCAAACATACTGCTAGGAATAATTGCTAGAGCATACAAATCCCTAGGAGGTATTTGAATCTTGTTGGTGTTACTGTCTCTCTCTGGGCCACTGTTCAGGAATCTTTTCCTATTCACAGAGAGACTCTGAACATGATATTAAATGACTTAGGAGTACAGAGGAATTATTTATTCACCAACACACACAAAAGATGGAAGGGGGTTTACAACATGCTCACATCACGTTGTCCTACCAATACATTTCCACTCTTCTTCATTAAAGTGAAATTTGCTAATGCTGAAATATTTTAAATAAGATTCCTCTGCTTTGTAAAGACATATTTATTCCTTCTCTGTGGTAAAGGCTCTTTCAGTCCTACTGCCTTTCCTCTTATTCAAGAGGTCCGTGGGACTCCTCACTTTAGAGACCAAATCCTTTCCCAAACTTCAGCCCCGTCCCTCACAGAGTCGCTGCTGTAACAGGGGAAGGGGCAGAATATAGATTGCCTTCTCTCGCTGACCGTGGCCTGCTTGGCCGGCAGAGAGCAGAGCCTCTGTGCTTCCGCATCGCAAATCTGGAAAGAGCCTGGTTTGTCCTTCCCAAGCAGTGTTGCTCAGAAGCTTCCTCTCACCGAACACCTGCCTCTTTCCTTCCTAGCTCTCTGCAAATCCATCCTACAGGAATTTTCCAGGAACATGTCAGACCTATACACACTTCCACCTTTAAAAGAGCTTCCCCCTCCTCCCGCAAGCCTGCTCCTCTCACTAAGACCGTTCTGGAATTGCAGCAAGGCCTCTAAATTGGGTATGCGTTATGTGCATTCTTATTTTAAGGTTTCTTTCCAAAGCGCATGTGGTATAAATGCAAGTGAGATTATCTCTTTATCTGGAAGAGGGAAAGATCTTTTCTTGAGAGAAAAGCACAGTCCTAGTTTGGTACCTCAAGGCTGAGAGTCAGAAACTGCTAGTTGTAATGCACCTCTGCTAATGCACCTTGAAGAAGCCATTTTACTTTGCTTTCTCCAGCATTATTTGCTGTTTTGAAAGCTGTCTATCTGTATAATTCAGGATTTTTAGGTCCCTACCATATTCCTCCTCCAAACTTTCTCTTTGCCATGCTGATGAGCTCTAGATCATTTTTATTCATATAGAAAAAGAGGACAAAGTACTTAACATGTCAGTCTAGCATGGAGAAAACACGAGTTTTTGTAGTTGTTAGTGCTGAAAAGAATGACCTACCTAATGCCACATCCAGACACATCTGACTTTTCTGACTGGACAGCCACTTACAGCAGAGTCACCTGGAAGCATTTTCAATAAAAAAATATTGACCTAACTCTGCAGCATGCCTTATCCCATCGCTTGCCACAAAACTCCTACCATCAGTGCTGTGTAATTGATTATACTGTAAAATACTTTAGTTAGACTCAAAATCACCACAAGATTTCAGCCTCCTTTCCTATTACCAAAAATAGCCCTTATCAATATGAATATTTTTGTCTGTGTAATTTTTCACTCTGGGACTGTACCATTTTAGTTGCTGAAAGGAAGTCTCTGTGTAAAGTATTGTTGCTATGAAGCAAGCTAAAGGATTCAATTACGGCCCTAAATCATCAAAAGAATTAAAATATTCTGGATGCTGGGTTAAGAATTGTGTGCTCAATAGAGCTCTAAAAATCAATTGATTTCCAAGACTACCAGAGGTTCCTGTATAGAAATACAGTAAATACTAACCTTTCTTTTTCAACATACTGTTTCTGTGCAAACCAATAATAAGAATGAATTGTTTCTTTTATTGGCCTGCAGTTAAAAGTGAGTTTTTTTGTCATTCTCATTGCATGAGGGCTTATGAATTGATACCAGGTTGTCCCCTCTTGTAGACCTTGCATCCTCCAAGAGGAATGGCTAGCACCTTCTGTCGTCTCCTGGCAGGCCGTGGAGCTGCTGCGCTCTTTGCAGCAGCAGGCACAGGAGCCCTAACCACTGGGTATCTCCTCCATCAGCAAAATGTTAACGCTGCTGTACAAGAAAAACGAAAACTCTTCCCTCCAAGGTAAGCGCTTTGGGTTAAGTAGGCAGCTGAGCTTAAGGCCTGGCTAACTGAGCTAGGTATAATGTTTAACTCCTTGGGGGAGGGCAGATTTCCATTAAAGCTGCAGAGTACCTACTCCTTCACGCAAACATGCCAGCCATGTGTCTGAATGCGGGCAGTTAACTGACAACCTGAAAACCAGCATCGTTTATTAAAAAACAGTTTTAGACGGCAGCAACACCAGCCTTCAAGACTAGAGTGTGGGGAAGTGGGATAGTATCAGCGCTCTCACAAAAACATTGCCAAGCAATGACAAGCCTAAAAAATGTTTCAAATTTTAGGCAAAGCATCAAACTAGCCCTTATTTTATCTCATCAGCTCTTGAATGCTTTGCAGCACCTGTTGGACCGGATGATTGTATAGATTCTACCATTAGGAACTGTGAAAGTGTTTTCATTATGCAAATAGTAAAGAAATCTCTTAGGTAACTACTGTTCTTGAAATATATCTAATTCAATTGCAGACTGGTTGGCTGATGATTAGAAACTAGCTACAAACCTTTCTATATGTGGGCTTACTTTGCTGACCATATTGGTGAGAAACAATGTGGACAAGGCACTGGCAGACTTTTTTTCAAAGTAGTGAATAGTATCTTGGTTAAAATAAGTTATTGTAGAAATAATAGGGCTGTGCCTAAAGCAAAGTATTACTAAAAAAGGTAAATGTGATCTGACTCACTTGTAAAAATGCCTTACTAAAGCATAACCTCTTCACTTCCCCTGGTTTATTATACTGTGCAGCTTTCTATAAATAATAATATTAAAACAACCCCAGATGTTGTTGAAGAGTTAGATTCCCAGCTAGTAGCAATCCGATAGTGAACAGAAGAAAGTTAGAGCTCTTTTAATTCTGAATAAGAGTGTCTCAGCAGAGATTTAATGGGGCTTAATACACTTTGAAAGCTCACTGGGATTCATTTTCTCGGCTGCCACAAGTAACAGAAATCTGCTGTTGTCTGTTGGTATAGTTGCCCATCAGTGCAATGTGGAATCCTTGAGTGACTTGAGCGTTTCTCCCCTCCTAAATTTCAATGCAGTGTATAAACCAAGAACTAATTACACTTTTAAACCAATCTATATGTACTCCACATCCTAATCACACTGATAGTTTCATAAGCTAGCAAGGATTACTGTATAAAGCATGATGTTAAGGGTTTGTGGGTTTTTTTCTCTTCAGTGCAGACTACCCTGATCTCCGCAAACATAACAACTGCATGGCTGAGTGCCTCACACCAGCAATTTATGCTAAACTAAGGGACAAGATGACTCCCAATGGCTACACCCTGGACCAGTGTATCCAAACTGGGGTTGACAATCCTGGCCATCCTTTCATTAAAACTGTGGGCATGGTTGCAGGTGATGAAGAATCCTATGAGGTAAACTGTTTTCCAGTGCTGTCATGTTTGCTTCAGTTTGTATGGTGTAATTCACAAGTGCTCATTAGATGAATGCAGATTCCTGGTAAGATATACACTCCCAAAATAAATCATATCCCAGAGATTATATAATGGGCAGGTCAAGTGCGTAAAGATAGTGTTTTCCCTCCCCTTTATGAGGATTTGACTGTTCTTTTACGTTAGAAAATAAAGTGAACACGAGGCATTGCTAAAAGTGCCCTCTCTACTGCAATCAAAGTTAATAAAATGTGTCTGCTTGGGAGCAATATTCAATTTGCCTCCAGCAGCTGCCTTCCTACTAGCTGGTAGCAAAACTGCGGCCCTATGCAAACCTTGATTTGGTTTACTAGTTTAGACATGGCGACTGCCTTGAAAAGCTCTGCCGTGGTTTTTGCTACACAGCAGAATGATGGTGTGATAGTGGTCGGTACTGACCTACCGGTGCTGCATGGCTCTAACTAGCACCAGTATGCAATGGCAGTGAAGACATAGGTACGCTCGTGACCTAAAAACAGGACACAAGCTGCCTGGTGACTCTGAATGTGTATCCTGGTTGCTGATACATCCTGAAATCTAATCTGGTTGCTACCGCATCCAGTACCTGTGATAACTAGAGTAAGTTTGTAACTCAATTTAGGTGCAACTGCACCTTCTTTTTTGTCATGAAGATGAGGAACCACTGTAGAGCACTGTCTAGGTCAAAATGACTGAAATCCACTGTCACATAAGGCCGGACTTGGCAATGTACCTAAAATTAATTCCTGGTGCCTAGCCAGTTTCTAGAGAACAATTGCCCAAGTCCCTGAACATTATCATAGATGTTGTTTTGTTAGAATCTCCCAGTTTATCATTAGGACACAGAGGATGGCATTCCATATTCTGCTTCAAAGAGTTACAGCAGAAGTTCAGATCATGGCAAACTATTGCCAGTAGCCCCTGCCATGTAGAGGAGATGCCTATTGAAAATAAACCATATTTTCAGAGATAATTTTTCAGAGACCAAGTTTGAAAGATACAACCCACATATGCCCTTTCCCTGCATATTTACCCTGTCAGCACTTGCAAAGCCCCCTTTATGGCTTCATCCAGGAGTCTGTGCCAAGGGGTTTCCCCTGTGGCTGAAGCTGGCACATGAAAGTGTTTCTATAATACTGCAGACTCTTTCTAGATTCTCTTGACTCCATAGGTATTTGCTGAGATTTTTGACCCTGTCATTAAAGTGAGACATAATGGCTATGATCCACGCACAATGAAGCATCATACAGACCTGGATGCATCCAAGGTAGGATTTAAATAAAATAATGAGAAAGTAAAGATTCAATGCTACTTCTTACAATGGCGATATTCTATGTAATTGTACTATTTTTTTCCTGATACAAATTCAAAGGAAATAATTTTAGGGCTAAACAAAGCAGGACTCCACAGTGACTGAAATGGCAGCTCCTACAGGGAATATGTCTGAATGAAATGAGGCCTGGTTCTGTCTTTTCTTTTTGCAAGATTGCTAGTTTAGGTTTGTTATGCTGCTAGGGTTTTCAGCATCGGATGAAGGATAAACCAGAGTAGCATCTACATGGCCTTTTTTCCCCTCTTCTGATTTCCCCTCTTGACTGGATTTCTCTCACCTGACTGCTTTAGTGAGAACCTTCAGTTCCACCCTGACATCATGCGACAGTGTCAGGGAAGGGCCTGAGCGTGCTGCTCCACCAGAGAAGCAAGCCAGGAGTCAGAGATGACAGCTAGACAGGCAGGGCAGTGGCCTCACCAACAAGGGCACGGCACTCCAAACAAGAAGAGCAGAACAAGTCTAATTGCAGTAAGCTGGTTCAGCCAACAGTCCACTGATTGCCAGAGAAGTCCATAGTAGCAAGGCGGGTCTGAGGTCAGCAAGGCAGGGTCAGGATCAACAAGGTACAAGTCCAAGCACAGGTATACCTAAACATAGCTCAGGCGAGGACTGATGGTGAGGACGCTAGATTAAATGCATATTCCAAATGAAGGTTTGGGGGCCCCAGATGGGACTTGTCACAAGTCTTTTTCATACAGCTCTTTTCATAGCTGTTGGATCCAAGATTACATAGCTGTGCCATATTGGATTTGGCCTTGAATACAGCCAGCTAAAACCTGGTGGCAGAGGGTGACAAGAGACTGCAGCACCCATTGGTGCACTCATGGCCCTAACAGCAAGCTAGTTACTTCCCTACCTTGTTCTTAATAAAAGGATCAATCCCGACTGGTACTAAGCATTTGGGCCGCAGTCTAACTTGGCAGTGCAGGTCCGTCTGTGAGCTTAAAGACAGAAATGTGTTTAAGGATTAGAGTGAAAGCATTTCCCACATAGCAGCTGACTCCAGCCCACACACGTGCACAGGATCAGCTCTTATCCAGTGCTTAGTGTTGCTTTCACAGTTCATCTACAACGTAGTTCAGCATCATCTTGGCCTTTCCTCTTTCAAAAGATCTTCCAGACCTGGCCTACTGCCTCTGCCCATATCCAAGTTTCCAATTGCTGCCCAGATTCTTTCATATTCCGTGCTGGAGCTAAGAAGGATCAGCTGGTTACTTCACCACACTGAGTCCACAAGAGAACCTTGGAGTTCCTAAAAAAACCTCCTAGTATCTGAAACACTGAGGTGATCCTGGTATTCTGAGTATTTCTGATATCTAGGAGAGGTCATGATCCCTGGGCCTCTCTTTTTGTATGATGAGACTTTTAAACGTGGGGTACAAAATGGGGCACTAGGTGTAAAATAAGAAACGTTCTTCCTTCAGATCACCCAGGGTCAATTTGATGAAAACTATGTCCTCTCATCACGTGTACGTACGGGTCGTAGTATTCGGGGCCTCAGCCTTCCTCCTGCTTGCACCAGGGCAGAGAGAAGAGAAGTAGAAAATGTTGTGGTCACTGCTCTAGCTGGTCTGAAAGGAGACCTTTCTGGAAAGTACTACAGCTTGACCAATATGACTGAGAAGGAGCAGCAGCAGCTTATTGATGTAAGTATAGCTCCAGTACTGACACCATCTTCACTTACTCTCATTTATTTTTTTAATCTTTTTCTTTCTTTGGTGTACATGCTTTTCTGTGTAGCCAAGGAAGACAATTACAGCATTAACCCAGTAGTTAATGGTCTGTCAATATTTTTATTGCAATGGCAAATTGTCCAGGGTTAATATTTTGGCTGAACATATACTTTGCAGGTCCAAAATGTGAAGCTATATTCAGGTAGGAAGGTCTGTGTAGGATCAAATACATATAGCTGTTGCCACCTCTTTGGCCAAAAAATAAAATAAATTCAAGACTCTTTTTTTAATCATTTCCTTGAGTAGAGATTCCTGTTTTCCATAGGATTAACCATTTTAACTAATAATATTACTTTGAGATAAATATTACATGTTATCTGTATTCTAGGCTGTTCAGGTGGGGTTTTTTTGGCTATAACTTCTTTCTGTCAAAACTACACTAATTCTGAGTCTGCAAAATGATTGGAGCAAACTGCAACCAGGTCACCTTTTACCAGTCCTACAACTGTGTTTAAGGACTGGATGGATCAGGCCTGTAATAATAGTTTCCATTGTCACACAGATGGAAACACAAGGATTTTCATCATGAATTTGGTCAGAGAATCTCATTATTCAATTCCTACAGAGAGATGTTTGAGATGGTCAAAGTTTCCAAGTGCTTTCCTGACAAAAATGGGCAACAGTCAACTATCTTGAAAATCCATTACAGGGATTCATATTGAGGCTTTAAAAATTACAGAAATCTAGAAGATTGTTTAAGAAAAACAAGCCTTGAATGTGCATTTTAATTATCCAGATGAATGGCTGTACCCTGTTAGCTATATTCATGGCGCATTAATCTGTAACATCAACCAGAAGGGAGCTGATGACATAACATAACTATTTATTACCCTGCAACTAGGTGTCACAGCCTGGATTAACCAGGAGTTAAGAATTTATGTAAGGTCAGTAACTTTTTCATTGAATGTCCTTGATAATATGTTTATTGACAAGACATTGATTACCTGTTCTAGGCTTTATTTCATCGCCTTTTTCAGCAGTAGAGAGCTGTTCAAGAAGCACAGATCAAAATAGGATGGCAGAGAACGTAATTCCTTCATGATTTACAGGTTAAATTCTTTGGAAAGTGAAACAGGCTTCCTTGATGCAGCATTTTGCCTTGTCTTATTTGTTTGCTTTCACACTAATGCAAATTTATAAACGTCAGGGCATTGAATGTTGTAACCTCAGATTCCGTCTTTAACTCATATCATTACTTACTTCCTTCAGTATTTTAGGATCTTGAGTCTCTAAGGTGTCAGGCTGTCTGCCAACCTTTAATAAGCACCATTTGATCGGTATGAGATCAAATCAGTGAGACTTGAATGGCATTCAGCCAAGGAGACATTCAACATGGGAGGCTTGCAGTACTTTGTGGATTTGTGTCATAGGCTTAAAGGGAAAGCTAGTAGTGCTCAGCTGATTTCTTGCAAAAGGAGGAATTTTTCTCTCAAACAAAAGTGTAGAGTGGAGCAAACTGAGGAAGTACACGTTGCGTCCCTGTGATGAGCAGAGAGAACTCTATACCTTTTTATTCTATATGGTTGATGTTCTGGCAGCATCATGCCCATCACAGGCCATTTGAAGGTGAAGGCCTGAAATTCTCCATTGAGGGGAAAAAAGGTAAAGCTTATCAACTTATCTACCAGGTCATATTTTTACTGGATAGCTTGCCTCCCTATTGTCAGCTAAACCCTAGAAAAGAAAAAAGCCCACATTTGATATGGCAGTGTTTGAGGATTTAAGAACTAATAATTTTTCAGCACACACATGAAAATCAAATATTTATTTGCTTAGGGAAAAAACAGTTCAGTTGAAAAAAAAATAGATTTGGAATGTGGCAAGTCTCTGGCACTCCACCAAATGCTATGTTTATTAAATCAGAATTAAATCTCTGAGGAGGAACAGAACAAGTCTGTGATTCCAAAAGGTCAAGCTTAGCACTATTTTAATTCCTACCATGATTTCGAACTCAAAATAAATTGCTAAATCTCTATGCTGGAGAAATCTCCTTTCAGAACTACCATTGGGTATTTTGCTATCTTTAAAGATTTGTTGCTTTCGCCTACCCTGACATTTGTGTGCAGATACATGCCTCTGATTATAGTGCTAAGAGTCTCCAGAGTCCCCTTTGTTGCATGTATGCGGTCCCTAGATCCCTTCCTCCACTTCTTCCCTACATTTGAAAACATTTTTTTGCAAAACATAGTCATATTACCAGTGTCAGTGAGTGCAAGAATTTGCTCTCTAAGCAATCACCTGGGTAAAGTGCTTTTAGTTTTCAGTCGAGAAGGAACCACATTCATGAGCTGTATTATGCCATTCACTTTTATGTTGATTATCTTCCCATTGAATTTATAAGAGAGTGTTATATTGCTTCCTTGAATAAACATGAATTTTGTTTTTTTTTCCCCCTCTCTCTGTTTCTCTCCCTCTCTCTCTCTTTGGCCCCCTTTTGGTGTCCAGGACCATTTTCTCTTTGATAAGCCAGTGTCCCCTTTGCTAACATGTGCTGGGATGGCACGTGACTGGCCAGATGCCAGAGGAATCTGGTATGTTGTGTGACATGTAGAAGCTTGTGTCATGTTTGAAAGATTGTATTACGAGTCTCCTTGCTTGTCCTAACCCTGCAGTCACTCTGTCTTGATACTCACAGCATGTTCTGTTTGTTTTTAAAAAATGTTCTTGGTTAATTAAAAAAAGAAAATCCAACAATGAATAATACAGTGGGTAAGAAAGACCTTTATATTCATAGAAGCCATCGTTACTATCAGCAACATAGCGTAGCATCAGAAGCATGACTCCTTCTTTGGCTTTTTATCACTGTTTTTTCTATTTCTAGATGAAAATTTGATTTGGGAAAGAGCCAGTGAATCACCATGAAATCAGCAGAACAGAGGTTATAAGTGCAATCTAAAACTGGATTGGAGCAATGCTTTAGCTAGGAACCACTGGCAATACAGCTGCAAGACACTACATTGTAAATTCCTTTCCCCTCCACCTCTTTCTAGAGACAGAATGTTATTTTAATTACCTGTATTGAAAATAATCCTTTCTCTCTACGTAAACTGGACAAGAGGGGATACAAAAGCAGTTGAATTTCCTTTATGTTTTAGGTCTGCTTCTACATTTATAACCCTGGTATATTTTGTGCCCAAAAATAGAATATTTTCTGGGGACAGAAAGGGATAATAGCCCCCAGGAACACTGCTAGTGCAGCGCACTCACCCCCCCCCCCCCCCACAACCCGGTGGGGCAGC